GGCGTAAAAGCATAAGTATGGTGTGTCTATGAAGTTAAACAAATACCCTCATCAATTTTCCCGGTTTAAGTTACTGTATAACAGAGAGGACTACATGAATAATAATAATAACAACAACAACGCAAAGATAGTACTTACAATTACATGTTATGATGATCAAAAATAAATATCAATTATTTTCATAATATGTGTGAACATCGAGACATTATGTTATAATACATTATCAAAAATATCTAATTAACTGTTCGAATGTTCATTTGTAGTATGAATAAAAATCATACTTTTTATAAGAAAAATTAAAAATAACCATTATTTTTTTTTCCTTGACTTTAAAAAAAAAATAATACTTTTTTTCAGTTGTTTAATCTAACTTTGTTTTTTTAGTAATTTTATTTTAAACGAAATTATAATTAATCACATTTATTTTTCATAGTGGAAAATTACTAATATATTTATTGTATGCACTTAATAGGTATTTTTTTCAAATTTATTTTTAATTTAGAAATGTTTATTGCATGGGTAAAAAATATACTAACATTTCATTCTGTTTTTAATAATTGGTCAGTCGTTTTCCAACGCCAAGGACAGGCAGTGTCTAGTTGTTGGTCATTAAGTTTACTATTATCCCTCTGGTGTCATCTATTCGCACAATATTTTTTGATCAATTTTGTATTTTGTATTTTTTTTTTTTTTTTTTGAGTTTTGAGTTTTGTAAACCTGTTCATAATAACGTACATTAATTTATATTATTTTGGTCTGTCTGTCAACGGAAAATTTGTTGTCGATACAATAATAAAACAATATTTTTGTTTTTGTGTTTGAAGCACAAGTTACCTATTTATTAAATATTTGTCAGATTGCTTTTGCTCAAAGTCGTTAAATGTTTTTTTTATTTGCTGTTATTTTAGAATTTCAAAAAAAATAAAAAATATGGTCATAACTCAAGTGACATGTAGCCACGACAAATATGTAGTGAAATAGTCTATCCGTGTCGCCGTGTTTGACAAAAAAAATTAAGAGTCGTGGCGTGTGAAAATAACAGCTATCAGTTTATTGTAATAAAGTTAATATGAATAAAATCAAATGAAGAGTGTGGATGTACACCATACGGATATATTTCTCAAATATTTCATCGATATGTAAGTTTAATAAACAATTTGTTTTCAATTTATAAGACTGAAAATCACATCAAAATCAATAAAAAAAAAAAAAATCGTATTTATTAAATCGTAAAAACTACATTTTAAGCATATGATATAAAATAACCAATGAGATATTTTTAAATACCATAATTTATTATGTATAAAAGGTATTATTAAAGGTATTTTGCTTTTAAATATATTTTTTTGACTCTTCATCGTAGTGATCGTGGCTTAGCGCGGAGTAGATGTAGCGACGGTGATTTGGGTTAAGAACGATGAACAGAAATCTGTATGCCATAAAAAAAAATAAAAATAAAACACTAATAAAAACGATAACATTGAAAACTAATAAACCGTAAACATTCCGAACGAAATTACAAAGAATCAAAATGTTGCTGTGTATATTGGCTTGGCGCAGACCAAAGTAGTGGCTGGAAGGTGTGATAAAGTGTAATGGTTTAAAATTGTATAGTGACACTGCTATTGCAGGAGCCGAGTTTTACGCGAGATGACGAGTGGTAAACATGGTGTGACAAGGCAATTTGCAGCGAAGAAATTGATATACAAGCCTCTATTTTTTTCAGCTCTTCGTAAACTATGTCTACATTATACTTATAAATTTAGTCGAAATTATTAGTTCTCATTACAATGTTTTATAACATATTAAATACAGGTTTTTGCGCGCATTTATAGTAATCAAATGATTTGTTCTGTGATTCTTTGCTGGACTCTGTCCAAACTAATTTAAATGTGATTATTTACTACAAAAGTGTTCCGTGAGTCTTGTATCTCACTCACTATTATTTAATTTAAACTTAAACACAAAGATACTAAATTTGTTTAGCATTATGCACAGCTAGAAATGCATCATAATCTTTGTATGCAATAATAGTTTAATATATTAGTATTATAATAATTATGCTAACTGTTTCAAATTATATTCGTTTTTATGTATTTAAATTTACGTCAGACACTTATAATATTCAAAATATAATATAAAGGCCAATTATTTTAACTAAACTTATTTACTCATTATGTTAAAAAAAGTATTGGCATTTTTAGGAAAATGAAAGTCACGTACAATTCTAATACTTTTAAATCAAGTCCAAACTCCTATAAATAAGCCTCTATTGTGACTGCGCCCTAATTAATTCGAAAACAATTAATAACGATCTTTGTAGTCGTAACCTGACCGAACTAAATAATTGTAAACATTATATTCGTATGTGATTCGTTTTATATTATACACACTAATATTGCACACACATGATACGAATTTATATTGCCTCTTCAGACTCAAAATATTATTCGGTTATTCGGTATGATAATTTAAATACATGTTTACCTAAAAACTTGTATACTTGAACCGTTATTGAAAAGAGAGTACCTACTACCTCTATATATATATATATATATATAAACATGTTTGTGTTATTCAAAATATTTAATCTGATATTCCTATAAATATTATTCAAACTCTGTTATAATTACATTAATAACAAAAATAAGCAAATTAAAAATACTTAATTGTTTTTAATCAATTTTCGATGGTTAAATAAAACTTGCAACTTTTAAAATAAAAATGTTTTCATTATTTTATATGATGCGCTTTTACGTGTAACTTTAACAATGATAATATGTTTCTTTTGTGTTTCTGAAAAAAAAAAACGTCTACACGAATGTATTTTAGATATAAGATATCTAATTTCAAAAATAATGTCGAAAAAATATCAAATTTTTTTTATAAGAACCCATATTTATATTCAATGCAGTTTTATTTTGAAATACTTATTTAACTTAAATATAGAATTATAAATCAATTGAGTATTGAAGAAAATAAAAATAATCATCATATTATTCAATGCAATATTATTGATTTCAAAGAATCTTATCCAACAGTAGAATAGTCTGTATAAATAAAACAGTAAAAAGAAAAAGAAATTCTAAAGATCCTTTATATTTTTATCTTTACTTTGACAAATGTATGTTTGTTAAACTAAGCGATATAATATAATATAAAATCAAACAAAGAAACATAATATATGTAATACTCATACCTACTCAAACTCACTATTAACATATATTACTTGGTTTGAATAATTTAATAATATTTAAAAATGTATACAGGTATACAAATGTATGTATAAAAAAAGAGACTATACTAAATTGTCAAAGCGAAAATAATATTAAAAACAAACAAGTATCAAATAACTTATTCAATTGAAATATATATAATTAATTTTTTTTTAAATATTTTAGACGTCATTTGACCTGATCTTTTAATAACTATATATATATGTACTTAACATTCGATCAACTAAATAAAATGATTAATCAAACATGACTTGAAATAATGAAGAAAATAATATATAAATAGTAAATTTGGAAGAATATAGCATTAATTTGGGTAAATATTATTCGTTTAAACTATTAATAAGTGTAAAAACTACTATGTTTCCAAAATTATAATAACGATATCTGTAAAAAAATTTCGAATTCTATATTCCTATACTCACTAATCAATATTATTATGAATCATCCGTTCAATATGAACATTACCCGATGTATAGATATAACTATCATATTATCTCTTTCGTTAAGTTGTCAACTGTTATCATTACGATAATAATATATAATATATAAATTATATTATATTATATTATATATTATTATTATAATATAAAAATCAACATCAAAAAAATATAATATAATATTTCGTAAGGCAATTATCAATGTTTTCAAAAACATTGATTTTACGTTATTTTAAATTGTAAATAATATGTCTTTTAATCGTGAAAACATCCATTTTTAATTCCTCATTAAAAATTAGAATGTTTTTAGAAGATTTCGATATGTACGAATTAGATTGTGAAAGATCAGTTTAGAATTATAAACATTTAAATTTAAAATGAACAAAGTGGAGTTCTTCATGGGATGGGCATATTACACAAAGTTAGTCTAATACCCCATTCGTTTAAAATTTAAGTACTTGTAAATAATAAATAACTAGTCTAAAATGTTATTTTTATAGATAATATTTATACTCCAAAAAATATTTTGCTTCAAAATTTAAAATTAGTAATCTATGGCTTACATTTATTTAAAAGTAAAATTTTAGAAAATGTTAGTATTTTTTTTTTTTTAACAACAAGTATCTAATGTTTAATGGAACTTTCTGTTTATTATTAATCTTTAAATTAAGTTTGGACTTCTACACACTAAACATCTTACAACAATATGCATTTATAAATCAAAAATCCAAAAAATATGTAGAAATATAGTTTCGTCCAAAATTTTACGCATTTTTATACAAATTTTTTTAAAAATGTCATCTATCTACAAATCAATGAAATTCAATAATAATAATTTTACTGAGAAAACCGGTTAAAATTTTTACCTGCATCGCAATTGTATAAACAATAAATGCAGTCTAATTGATACGGCGTATTACGGTATTAATAGATGTTCGTTATATTTTTCTACAAAATATGTAATAATGTTTTCACAAACATTCAGTCATCCCTAAAATATACATTTATATGGATTGTCTGCTAAACAAGTCGTCGATATTTCGTACTCCCTCCAAACTTCAGCGCTCTCAAGTCTCAATTATCAAAATCTATACAAATCCGGAATTAAGCAATAATTATTATAATTGTTTATAACGTTTAACAAAACAATATAATATCGTACGATGACGCTATGAGACTAACCGCAATAGGCGATAACAATAACACTACAATATTGTTTATGTAAAATAATAATATGTTGCCCAGACAATTTATTCGCGTCATGTACGTGCGTATGACGTTATCATAATATAATTTAAATTATTTGCGAATTAAATATCGTACTCACGGTATCAAAGTCGTATTAACGGAGATGATACTGCAGCTGGACGCGCGTCGGTGTACCAAAAGTCATTCCGTCACAGACTCCGAGAGCGGTGTGTGATTTTGGCGGCGGGCTGCATCGCGTTTTACCACCCCACGGGACGTGGAGGCAGCGGTGGTGGATCGGTAGCGGTGTGGTGGATGTGGTGTGGCGGCGTCGGTGGGGTACTCGATCGCCGCCGCCGCCACTGCCGCCACCGTCGTCGTCGTCGTCGTCGTCGTCGTCGTTGGCGTCGTCGTCGGCGGTGGCGGCGATCGCACGCAGACGCAACCCTTTTTCTCTCCGCAATTCCCTTGCACCCAAAACGCCACCACTCCACACACACCTTACCGTTTCCACATGGCCGTTATACTTGTACACAAAATATATTATTATTATTTTCTGCCAACATATTATATGTCCTCTGCTCTCCTATTCGTATGTTAGCTTTAAATATATATATATTAAATATAAATATATGTTAAGTATATTTCTATGTATATTGTACAGGGCGATTTACCAAGCACGCTCGTCGCTCAGCTCCGTATTTTATTTTATTTCAATAAAGAGTTTATTCAAATTTCGACTTTTCAAATTCTTAAAAATGTTTAAAGACGCCATTTTCAAACTCTTGAGATTTTTTGTGATTCTTAATCAATGACTTATGGCAATGCAAATTTATGTTTATCAAATAAGAACTCCTCTTTTTGAAAGTAAGCTAGTTAGTGATGTTTATTTTTATTTTTTTTATTTTTTTTTATGTGTTGATGTGAATTATTCAAAATATTAACAAGTATTTTCAACGTTATCAAATTATTTTTAACGAGAAATTTTATGTCCATAATAATAATTTTAAATGGTTTTAAAAATATGTCAAACATATCTTTTGATATCGTATTCTATATATTAACTTCAGTACATTTTTAGAAATTTTAAATATTGATAATAAATATTAATCATTAACATTATAAAATCACTATAGCCCCTATACCTTCCAAACCCTTCATCGTGAACCTATTATTCTTAATACATAAATTTAAATAATTTAAAAATTATTTGTTCAAATTTTTATTTTGAAAAAAATTATTTACTAAATAATTAACACTAAGAAAATAGGTTTTATTTGAAAAACATAAATTATTGCTTCGTCTCAAAACAGTTTTTAAGAAGTTAAAAATTAGATTTTGAATAACAAATTTACTGAAGAAAAAAATATGGGGATGTTTTGTGAATCATCCTACATCATATACTTTTTTCCATCCTATGATACTGTTATATAATTTACATAGGTAGAGTTATTATTATATACGTGTGATTTTTTCAATTTATGTGTATTATAATAGTATTTTTTTACTGGATTCCAATATTTCCTTTATTGCATTATGTACTCTGTACCCAAAGTTCGAAATTGTATATATATATTTTTTTTTATGTATATAATACGAAACCATACTATATTATTGTTGATTTCATGTTTAGACGCTGAAAATTTTCTTGGCGTTCGTTGACGTCTTCAATATATCAAGCATAGAACTTATTATTATTTACCTATAGGTAAATTTAATTTGTTCTATTTGTATATAAAAATTTTCTAAATTAAAATAAGTTTTAGAAATAAATTACACGTCATTTCTACTGAATCAACAATGCTTCTTTATTTTTGACTTTTCTAATGAGATTTTAAATTAGAAATAAATGGTAAAAAAAAAAAAATAATAAAAAAATGTTATCGTAAAAAAAAAAAAAGCAGGAAACATAATTTCTACAAAAATTTAATTTTACTACTTCTTAGAATCAAGGGGAGAATACTAAAAAAGTTACTTCTAAATTACCTTGCTATAATATAATTTATTTGCTGATTTTTTTATTTTTCATGTATTTTCCTCCAAATAAGCGTCTCGCCAAATGAGACTTCTAAAGCATATCGTTAAAAGTGTCGTATATGTACGTGTGTGCCTGCGCGCGTGTGCAATGTATAATACGGGCGAACAGCCAACAACTCAGAAACACTTTCCCACCTCATTTTTATAATAATAATATATATGTTTCCACTCTACGTCCGTCCTCTTGGTAGTTACTAACTCACTTACCTCAGGGTTTTTACTAGTTTCCCATTTCTTCAACAATAACCTTGTGTCTATATAATATGCAATTATAGTTTCTGTATTTTTTTTTTTTTTTATCTTGCTCGTGACTTTATTCATATTATTTTAATATAATATCTATTTATACCTGTAGTACCTATCGCGTCATTTCCTCACAGCTGTGTGTACTCTATAAAAATAAACAGTATTACGTGGAAAAATTTAATTTAAATCTAAAAAAAGCATATTTTTTTTTTTTTTATGAATTAAAATGAAATAATTCCAACTATTTTTCATGTAAAAATCAATATGTATGTATATAAAATCACTATGTATATATATAGATATTATATTTATTTTAAATAATAAAATAAATAATAATAAATTATTTATTTATCGAGACCTGTGTAACTTGACGTATTATTATCATATACTCGTATTATTATATTATTTTATGGTTACATAAGCATCGCTGTTAAAAGGGTATTATTAAAGAAAGCTAGATTAAATATCTATAATTTTTTCTCCTACCAATGATATATTGTACATGCATTTTAAATATTATTAGCTGAATAGAATCATCCGGCTTCGCCCGTGTGTAGTTTGTGCTTTCTCAATATAACAAATAAAATTAAATTGTGAATGATAAATCACTCGTAAAAATATTAGGTACAAGTATACAACCTTGTGAAAAAAAAAAAAAAAATTGGAAAACATTTTAAATAGTGTCGTCACAAAACAGGAACATTAAAAGTCCAGTTTTTTTGTGTATTATATAAAGATTCTAAAGAATATGACTCTAGTCTGATAAAAAAAAAAAAAAAAAACAATTCAAATTTTGAAATCAAGTTTAACATATCTATTACAGCGACTCTTCTCGATATCGAATCATACCTCGTGGACCATGGTACTACACTCGAATTTTATTAGTTATACCTGAACTATTCGATTTCGCCCTTGTGTATTCTTGTCTATGAAGTATAAGTTTCTTGGAACAATTTTTATCTACACTCCGCACGGCCGGTATGAGTATAGGTTGCAAATAGCTAGAAACCGCGCGGCCGGCCGCAGTGCCGTACAATACGTGTGAAATAACGAATAATTAAAATTATCAATTAGTCAACTTTAATACAACATTTTTTTAAAATCCTTTCTTATTGTACGGTGAAAGTATTTGAGGAACCACTATTCCAAATTTCAAGTTCGTAAGTTGAGTAATTTTCAAGATACAGCGATCAATGAGTGAGGTATTTGGAATTTATATGTATAGATTAAAATAAAATTTAATACTCTTAATTCAAAAAGGTACTTAACAAATTTAATAACACCATTACATTATTTATCAGAGTATTTTCTATCACTTGTTTGAGTTGCACTTTCATTAAAAATTGAATCGTATTAATGTTTATAATTCATATAAACCAAAAAATACAAGTTGAATAACAATAATAATTTTAATAGGAAGCAAAACTATTAAATTCAATACAAAAAAGTAATATAATATAGCCCAATTTTTTTTAGCACATCAAATACTGATATAATTGACTTAAAATTATTTATATATTTATTATTATTATTTATTTATTTTTTTGTTTGATAAAAATTGAACAGTCTATTTAAAAGTGGCTAAAAGCGATTTATTACATGAATACCACTGAATGTTAATTCTATTAAATATACATATACGATAGTTTTGATGGTTTTAACATTTTCTAGGTTGCATTTACATTATAAGACATAGAATATTGCAAAACTTTAAGTTCCTCTTTAAGTATAGTCTCTTCTGCTCTTCTTAAGTGTGTTTAATACTTTGAAAACGCGGCGTTTAGTGTTGTTGAATAAGTAAATAGCGGTAACATTAGAATGATTAACTGAAGTAGTTAATTAAAGTATTAAAGTGTTCTTTTAAAAGTCTATGCAATATTCGACTGATTTATTTTTCAATTTTGGTATTTTTGTGTTACAGAAAGTACCATATTTATTTTCGTGTCGATAATATTATACTTTGTTTTGGCAATAGTTTAGTGCAATAATTTAATATAGATAATGATACAGTGATAACGAACACTGCAGTTTCAGTTTTTGTTTGCATAAAAAATCAGTTATATTATTGTCACACGTAAGACTATAAAACCATTATTTTTCTGTTAAAGTAATAAACAAGATATCTTAAATTTAATTTAACACATTTAAACTCACAATTTTTAATATTTTATCAAAATATCAATAATAAAATATGGTAAATAATCGTAAATTAAAATGTTAAATCTCTCTGTATATTATATACAATTTTCTTAATAGTTTGAACGATAAACATTACAAATTAAAGAGACTTTAATAAATTATAATATAAGATTTGAAAGGAATATGAAGATGTATTCATGGTATTTGATAAATAGTGCCTATGTTTGTAAAATAATAAATTAAATATTCCATAAAATACCAATAGTCTAAAAGTATTGAAAAGTTGCAAATAATAGAAAAAGTTTTCATTCTCCGAAAATTTAAACCTGATAAGTTTGCAGTCCACGGCTTCTTAAGTGGTTTTTTGAAATGTTTGGAAAAAAATAAGTTGAAATAACAAAACCAACATTTCAATAAAATATTATACATTTCCAATAATTTGTAATCTATAGTTTTGTTATATGAAACAACAATTTAATTAACTTGAAAATTGAACTGGTTAGTTTATTTAAATGTATTATTTGTATCTTATGTAATCATACAAATCCTTTTTTTTAAATATTTTAATTGAACTTTATCAAATAAAGTTGTTCTAAATATGTATTAATGCAATTTCAAACTTTATACTGAAGATGTTAATGTTGCAATTGATTGGTAATAATATGTTAATATGTTGTATTAACTATATTAAGAGTAGTATTAATCATTTTATCTTGTTCAAACGAATACAATTTAAGTTTTATTTGTTTATGATTTAATTTTTAACTTAGAATAAATTTTCATATTTTCAGA